GTCATTCATATGTTATTCGTATGTACTCGTGTGATGTTTTAGTCACGATCGGTAGGTAAAAACTTACTTCGACACGCTTGCCTTGCTCCCGTCAACTTTATAGGGTGCGTTTCTTTAAGAAAATCCAAGATTGGATTCTTAAATCCGAAAACGGATTTTGCTTTTCTTTATCAAACAGATTAATCCAAGTTCACTCGGAACATGGTGCGTCAAAAGAACCGAAGAATCCTTGGATTTTCTTACAGAAACGCACCCATAATAATGTGCCAAAAGAAATAGAAAATCAAAGGCGTTGTGATTTGATTTCCAATATCATTTGTATTTTATTATATTTCATTTTACTATTTTTCTTTTTGCTTTAATTTTTACTTTCTATTTCGCTTCTGTTCAACATTCATTTTATTTTTATTTTGTTTAATTTTCTTCAGTTCATTTTTATTTGATTTTAATTCAATTTTATTTATTCCCTGCATCGGTCAGTTTTTCTTGCTAGTTTTATGTTTAGTTTTTAGTTTTCTAGCATTTACCTATAACAGAGTAAGAGTGAATGTGCGGACCGCCCACCGGGACAAAAAACAAGCAAACAAACATACAAGCAAAAACAAGAAAACAACAACAACAAAAAAACCAAAAAAAGGGGGGGGGGACCTTTGTAGAGATCAGGAGTAGAGATTGGTGCGGCGAGAGAGCGGCGGAAGTCGAGCCTGGAGGAGCCCGGAGCCCGGAGCCTGGAGAGCCTGGAGTAGAAAGTGGCCGTCTTGCTCATTCCGTTGGATAGGGTAACGCGGTGTCACAGTGATTTGGGTATCCCCGTGTTTTGGGTACCCAAAACACTGAAAGCGTTAAATACCACAGACTGGGGCAAGTGAAATCATCCATAATTCTGCTCAAAAACCATTTATATTCTTACAAAGCTTTGTTTCAGTAAATAAAAACTTTCTTAACCTTGATATAAACACATAACGTCGCTGAAAATAGTCGCAATTTATAACAGACTGTCTGATCCTAGTCCTCATTAGTATAACGACATACAAAACCGTATTCACGCGCCAAAGCTCCTTGTATGAACATGCGCTTAGTGCCTATCGATAACCCTTGAAATGCACGTCATTTTAAAC